GTTACGATGAACACGTCTGCATGTATGTACCCCGTGCAGTACCGCAGTCACTTCATATCAATCCCTTTGCTTCATATTTAGGTACTTCGCAAATGAAGCGATACGAGCATCAGGTACGGTCGTCCATTTGTGGGCGGGCGGGCGCGGTGGGCGTCCGGGTCGGTATGTTGCATCTTGATAGGGCCTCATCAAGTGAAACATACCGTACCTTTTGAGGAAAAGGCGCCACGTAGCGCTTCCTCAGGGGACGGGGCGGATTCTGTCTCATTATATACGTATTAATTCTACACGTTTGGGGACTTATCGTGCCACTTGCCTTTAAGCCTTGGTTGCAGTAGGGAAACAAAACGCTGAAGGATGCCTACGCTAACCACATTCATCGTCTCTACATGCGAGAAGGCGTCTGAGAAGAAATGGACAGGGGTTCAGCCAAGACGACCTTTCGCACCATAATGCCATCGTGAGCCCCGAGACAACTGTCCAACCCATCCACCCCCTCCCCCCCCACACGCTCCCTGCAGTTATAATGGCTATATGCTAAAAAGGATATTCTTCGGGATGTCGGGAAATTCAAGCAGAAGACTAGGAACGACTGATGGCATCTGAATGGCTCGGGTCAAGATAGTTACTGGCTAAAAAACTGACCGTCATCGTCATCACTTCCAGCTGTTCGTGGATCAGCTGTCATCGCACCCGGGAACATGACATTCTCTGGCACTGGAAGGGCTCCCTGAAAAACTTTTTTTGCCAAAAACTGTCATTCCTCGCTGCATATAGCGAGATCAAAAAATCCGAGAGATGTATTCCACGGCTTACGAACCTCGCCTGAGTCAGCATTGTGATCATGATAGTCCAGAAGAGGATTGTGTTTGAGAAACTGCGCATCAGGCAGTAGTGGGTACTCGGGCTCTGAAATAAAGAATATCTCTCTGGTAACTAGATGCTTGGGATAATCGCATTCCTCTATAACTCGAAAAAAGTCACAAATGAACTGTTACTACCCAGAAAAATCGATGTTTTGCTGGAAACTCCTCTTTGGAGAGTAATTCTTTACCCTCCAAAGGCGAGTAACAGTTACCCTGATCACACACACCTGCTCATCGAGATATTGAAACTTATATACGGGGCTTCTTAACATTATGATCACTAACATCACATTCTTTTTGGACGCAAAGCCTCAGGTAGGGGTAGGGTAAGCTTCGGGTAGGGGTCTATGTCACGCTTTAGGTCGAAACTACGGCCGTCGGATCCTCGCATCTGTCGCTTCCTCGACGGCGGCACCGTCCTGTCCAGCGGCTTGGGCGTTGATCATCGAGGAGCAAATTAGCCATCAGCTCGTCATTACGGTTCAGTCCCAACTAGCCCTTTGCGGCATCCTTCTCGTACATTAGCCTCCGTGCGGGACTCGCACGATTTCGAGGCGCTAGGGGTGTTCCAAGGTGCTGGGGTTTGGCGCGGCGCCAGTCACTTCTCCACCAGCTGTAGAAGCTGGGAACCATCACAAATGGTGGAGAACAAGGCTGGAGCGGCAGGCGGTCTACCTGAAGCGCCCAACATCCGCAGTAAACGGGACTCTCCCACCATGCTCCCTTGCGGATCGTTCAGGCAAAATCGAGATATATAATATTTGCTCTGTCATGTTTTCAGAGCAAGAGGGAAGAAGAAATCACCTCCTGCTCCAGGAGGTTGTGGACATGGTTGAGCTATGGTTTTCATGGAAACTTATCCACGAGTATCTATAAAAAACTTATACAGAATTTTTAACCCCTTGTACAGTCAGCTGAAAATCAGCCATTTTTTTGCTCCCTTTCGAATTTCAGCTTTGAGGAAGAACATGGTGACTTTCCTGTTCTTATCTGCGATGGTCAGACTTTTCGGTGAGCTCTGAAGGAATAGTATGGTGTTCATCGTGTCCCTCACCCACAGTGAATCCACCGGAACGCACTAGAGGAGGTACTAGCGCGTTGCAGGGACAAAAGCGGAAGTTACTGGCGCTTGCTCGAGCAACTCGATGATCAACGGGGGCAGAGGTGATAGAAGACAGGTGATAGTGACATCGGCTGCAGGGCCTCACGATTATGGTGACCAGGACCGTTCGCTGAACCCCGTGGAGTCTTTCAATG